TGTAGTAGGCACTAACTCATCGATACTCTTCACTAGAAGTGCATACGTAACTGTGTCGGCATACCGTGCTGGCATCTGTATGTTTCTCCTCTGTCTCCAAACCGTAATAGGATCCTGAACCTGAGCCGTCGGTTCCTGATCCTGCACATCAGCACCCGTATCCTCTGTATCACCGTCATGCTCGCCTGGCGTCACCTTAGTCGGCACCTGCATGGATACTGTACCATCTGGACAATGTGGAGCTGCATCGATCTCCACCACCTGCGATATCTCCTCCGTCGGGTCGCTCTCCACCTGATGAGAGCTGGGAAGCTTCAAGATAGAAGCCTCATCGAATGTGACATCCCTACTCAGCACAATCTTCTTATCCATTGGATCCCAAAGCTTGTATCCCTTGACACCACGCTTGAATCCTACAAATATGACCTTCCTAGCTCGAGGTTCTAATTTATCAGTTTTAACATGATAATATGCAGGGCACCCGAATACCTTGAGCTGATCATAGTCATGTGCTGGCTTTCCCGACCACATCTCCATAGGGGTTTTCCCCTCAATCGCATATGAAAGCAGCCTATTAATGAGGTGGCTCGCATATGTAAGTGCCTCAGCCCAAAAGATCTTCTCCAAACCACTCTGCGACAATAAGCATCGGATCTTCTCCAGTAAAGACCGATTCAACCTCTCTGCTACCCCCATTTTGCTGCGGTGTATGACTAACTGTGAAGTATCTCTCTATGCCCTCGTCTCTACATAGCTGCTGAAAGGGGTCTGAAGTATACTCACCACCGTTGTCGGATCGCAACGTTTTGATCTTTCTCCCAGTCTGCAGTTCCAATCTCTTCTTCCACTCCACAAACAAATCTAGGACTTCACTCTTCTTCGTCATGGTGTACACCCAACAACGCCTAGAATAGTCATCTACGAACGTGACGAACCAATGTCGACCACCAAGTGATGCAGTCTTGGTGGGACCCCAAACGTCTGTGTGCACGTAGTCCAGGATGCCCCTCGTCTGATGAATGGCAGTCCCGAACTTCACCTTTGTCTTCTTACCAAGAACGCAGTACTCACAGAACTCAATCTTCCCACTCTTGGCTCCCTTCAATAGCCCCTGTTTGCACAATGCCTGCAGTGACTTTTCACCTGTATGCCCCAACCTATAGTGCCAAAGTCTGCTCATGTCCGCTTCTGAAATAGCCGAAGCAACCTGGCCAATCTCAGTGCTTCCCTTCAGATAATACAAATTCTGATTGCGGACTCTCATCATCACCACCAATGATCCCTTAGTAACCTTCGCTACAGCGTTTTCGAAAGTCACCTTGAATCCCTTCGCCTCCAAAGCTCCAACTGAGATAAGATTTTTCTTCAGTTGAGGAACAAATCTCACCTCCTTCAACTCACGGACTACTCCATCGTGCATCCTAATCCGCACGGTACCTATCCCACAAACGCCACAGGATTGATCATTTCCCATGACAACAACACCCCCGTCGACTTTCTCAAAAGATGCAAACCAGACTCGCCTAGGGGTCACATAAAAAGTAGCGCCGGAATCAATCATCCAATCTGATGCATCCACATGGTTCACCTCCGGAGTAATCAGTAGAGAAAAGCACGAATCATCGGAATCATTGCCTTTCACAATATTCACCTCATTGGCCTTCGGGCCTTTTTTCTTGCCATTCTCTTTCTCCTTGAGCTTCGGGCAGTCTCTCTTCCAATGTCCCTGCTCCTTGCAGAATGCACATTGGTTCTTTGTTAATTGGTGGCGGCCTCTAGACTTTGACCTCCCTCTGTTACCACCTTTCGGATATGGGCTTCTACCTCTTGTCGACAAGGCCTCTCCTGAAGTACTAGCGCGGGAAGTCTCCTTGTCCTTCCTCCTCAAATCGTAATTTGTCAAAGCGTTAGTCACTTCACTATAGCTGATAGAAGATCTCCCGTTCAACAAAGTGAGCACGAAGGTATCATACTCCTCATCCGGTAAGGAGCCCAAAAAAATAATCACCTTGTACTCATCCGATATCTTCTCATAAACATTCGCCAAGTCCGACACTAACTTAGTATAGTTGTTCACATGAGCCGCTAGCGAGGTGCCTCTGGACATCTGGAATCTGAATAACCTATGCAGCAAGTGCAACCGGTTCTCAACACTCTTCGTAAGGTACTTATTGTTGAGAATTTCCCACATCTTCATCGCAGACGTCACCCCAATCACATCATATTTCAGCTCCTGTTCCAAACAGGACCTGATCACCCCCACAAGCGTTCCTATTCATCTTCTCCCATACCGCCTCTTCATATTTAGGTGGCCTCTCATGGACCATGATGGTCTCTTCCAAATTCTGAGCATTGAGCGCATCCTGTACGTCGCTCATCCACAAACCAAAGTTGATTTTGCCATCATACTTCACCACACTAATCTTAGTGTTCTAAAAACCAACTTGTATTGTACTCGCCATCGATTTGCTGCTTTCACCTTCTTCTCCCATTGCGAACTAACTCCAAAATTGTAGAGAAAGAATAAATTTGATAGAAATTAGGAACCACCCAACTGAACCCTAGATTGGATTCCAAATAGATTTCCTAACCACACGAGGAAAGCGAAATCTCTAACGACAACTCCTAATGCTATCTCCACCGAAGCCGAGAACTCCAAGAACTAAGCTTCACACAAGAATCTTCCTCCACCAAAAAAACCCTAGATCTGAAATATGGGCTCTGATACCACTTGTTACGCGCAGTGGAAATTTTGGCAGCACTTCGGCAGCACAACAAAAGAGTCAGGCCGCAATAAGAATTCTTGTTTTTCAAAGGGAACAAGAATCTGAAGCCTAATATCTCATCAAAGTGAGATATTAGCTCTTTCTCTCGTCAGCTCTAGGACTGCGCGTCGAAGGAACCTAAAAGCTATTACAAATCACACAAATAGCGATACAACCAATTTTTACGTGGTTCGGCAAATTGCCTACGTCCACGGGGCAAGGAGGTGGGAGATCTACTAATAGAGGGAGAGAATACAACTAGGGTTTACAATTACTCTCAATCTAAACCCTCAAACAAACTCTCAAATCCCTCACAACATCTCTCTACAAAAGGATGCACAAAAAAAAACCCAAAGAAGGGACTGCACAAAATTTCTCCCGCAGCCAGCCGACAAAAAACAAGCCTAATCAAGTTCTTTGCCGCAGCCGCAAAACACAAAAAAACCCTCTGCACACCGCCCTAGGAACAATATTTGTTCCTTTATATAACCGGAGAATTTGTGGCCAAAACGAATTCCTAAACTCACGCGGATTCGGAAAGGCCCACGAACAAAACTCACGCGGATGCAGCTCTTCATAGGTGGCCCCCACACCCACGTGATCACAATTTTAACTTCTCCTAAAAAAGTGATGAAGTCACATGAACGTGACAAAAAGGTAACTAATTTAATTAAATGATTTTAATTGTATTTTCTAATTAATCTTATTTTGCCACGTCAATTTCACATTGCACTTTCGATAATAATTTAATTTTTCAAACAAACACTGTATTTCACTTGCGTGCTGACAAGGACGTAAAAGTTATTTGCAAAAAAAAAGTAACTTACATATTTTAAATTCACTTTTAGATTGCCAAACACCCCCTTAAAGGGAGTATGATATAGTTAAAAAAAATATATCTCTAACTGAAATTTGTTTTAAAAATTTATTCATAGGCCTACCAAATCGAATGCATAATCTTTTAGTGTCCAATCCAAGGGGGAAGTCATTTAATCTAAGAACAACCAGAGTCATCCAAGGCAGATACCGTTGTTTGCTCAGTGCCTTTTTCAAGTCTTGTTTACGAGCTATAATGTGTTGAGTCTGTTGAGCTGAGACGTGACCTGCTTAGCTAGGCCTTCCTTTGCTATATATATTTCTTCTTACTCTCTATTTAGTTGTTCTCCTATTGATCTAACCTACTTGCACTCCTTATTTAAATACATGATCTTGCTTGCCTGCTTCATCTCTCAATCTCACTCGGTAGAAGGAAATACTAAGGAGAGGGATAAATATATAGACCAAGATTTCGAAAAATATCTATTTACTAATAATTATTCTACAAAAGAACATTGACAATGCTCATGTAAGTATGGATAAATTCACAATTAGTATTCTTATTGTAGCCAATTAAGAAGTGCTAATTTTTTTTTCTTTCATTTAATAAAAACAATTTCAAAACCTTTGAATATTTAAAAATGCGCCTTAGAACTTCTAGAGGAAGACCCTTCATCAGATCTTGTAAGTGCATTAATCATCTTCAAATTTGTTAGGAAAATTAAATTGAAAAAAGTAAAAAAAAGGAATATTGTGTTATAATTATTCTATAAATGAAGGAAATTATAGATAAAAATTATCATTAAAAATTCAAATTAAAATCTAGATAATCTTTCTAAGGACTTATTAAAATAACATACCTATTGGAGAAAAAAGCGAAGAAATTATGAAAGAAATGTTCCTAACATGACCTTTTATAGAAAGGGAGGGGGTTATTGTTATGAAGATGAAAAAGTATTAGAGAGAGACGGCTGAACAATGTCGGCTTACCCTAGGACCCAAGTCGATATCTGTATATATAAGAAGATATGATACAAGTTTTTACATATAGACCCTCTATGACAATTACATATTACAGTTGCACTATTACTATTACCCTCCTCCTCCCGCCCTAAAAAAATCTGGAGTTAGATCTACAACATGGGTGAAGCAAGCACATCGGGTTCGTCTCTTACAAAGGCGATACAGAGTCTGAGCATCAATAATACGAAGATTGATGTTCTGAAATTTGATGGCAAGATTAATTTTGGATTGTGAAGGTACCAGGTGATGGATGTATTGGATACACAAAATTTGGAGGAGACTCTTGAGTTACAAGAGAAACCTGAAGATATGGAAGACAAGGTTTGGAAGAAGATGAACAGTATGTCTTGTGGAGTTATTCAGTCATGCTTGACGCCGGATCTTATTTATGATGTGATGAATGAGATGTCAGCGAAGAGATTATGGGAAATACTCAATGCAAAGTACCTTACTAAGAGCATTAAGAATCGACTTCACTTGAAGAAGAGGTTTTACCAGTTCAAGATGAAGATGGAAGTTTCCATTATGGAGCATGTAAACAACTTCATGAAGCTACTTTCAGATATAGTCAATATGGATATCATGGTTAAGGATGAAGACAAGGCGATGCTACTTTTGTGTTCATTGTCGGAGGATGATTATGGTATGTTCGTTCTCACTATGATCAATGAAAGAACTACTGTTAGCTATAAGGAGATGACCTCAGCATTGGTAAATTATGAGTTGAGGAAGAGTGATGGTGAACCCTCCAAGAAGGCATCGGGAGATGCATTAGTAGTTTGAGGCCGTAGTCCAAACCGTCGTCAAGTCAACCGCTCAAAATCGAAGAATAGAGGTGGCTATAAGAGTATTTGTAGGAATTAATGTTGCTTTTGTAAAGAAGGGAACATTGGAAGATCGACCGCCCAAAGTTAAAGGACAAAGCCGAGAAGAATAAGGGGAAAGTTGTATAAGTTTCAGAAATGAATGTTGCAAAAGCTGTTGGTGAGCATTTAGATTCAGATTCTTCAAATTATTCATATCCTGCACTACCGACGGTTTGCTATGCCGACTCTACGGAGTGGGTGCTGGATTCGGGGGCTACATATCATATTTACCCTAGGAGGGATTGGTTCTCCAGCTTTGAGGAGCTGAAAAAGAGGATGTCGTGCTTATGGGAAATGACTACGTATGCCCTATTGGTGGTATTAGTTCAGTCCTGATCGGGATGCATGACAATGTGGTTAGGGAGTTGAAAGAAGTGAGATTCGTGCCACAGTTAACGAAGAACATCATTTCTCTTGATACTTTGGAGGCAGCAGGTTATCGGGTGACCTTAAAGAATGCTACTATGAAGATCCCGAAGGGTTCTATGGTGGTGATGCGAGGTGTCAGGGAAAACAACCTATACTACTTGAAAGGCAAGATAGTTACAAGGGATCTGACAGCTTCTATCACTACAGAGGAGGATACTATCACCTTATGGCACATAAGACTTGGACACATATATGATAAGTCCCTACAGTCATTGACAAAACATGGGCTATTAAAAGGTGCTAAGACATGCAAGATGGAGCTGTGTGAGCATTGTGTACTTGGAAAGAATGCTAGAGTGAAGTTTGGCACCGCTATCCACAACACCCAAGGTATATTAGATTATATTCACACAGATGTTTGGGATCCTTCCAAGCATACATCACTTGGTGGGACTAACTATTTTGTCACATTTATTAATGACTATTACAGGAGGAATTAGGTATCCTATGAAGCATAAACATGATGTCATGGATATTTTTATGGAGTGGAAGAAGAAAGTGGAGTCGCAGACAGGTAGAAAGGTGAAGACTATTCGTTCAGACAATAGTGGAGAGTACAAGAGTGATCTATTTCTACAGTTTTACCGGGATCACGATATTAGGCGACACTTCACAGTTCAAGAGACATTGTAGTAAAACGGGGTGACTGAGAGATTAAACCGTACATTGCTAGAGAAGGTACGATGTATGATGACACAGAGTAGATTACCTAGATCATTTTAGGCCGATGCGTTAGTTTATGCGAGCCATCTCGTTAATAGGTTATCGTGCACTGCGATACAAGGGAAGACTCATCTGAAGCGTTGGTCTGATATGGTGGCTAGTGACTATGAGTCGCTTTGGATATTTGGGTGTCCTGCTTATTATCATGTCAGTGATGGTAAATTGAATCTGAGGGCGAGGAAAGCAGTCTTTGTAGGGTTTAAAGAAGGTGTTAAATGCTTCGAGTTATGGGATCCACAGAATAAGAAGATAGTCATTATCAGAGATATCACATTTAATAAGACGTACATGATGAGGCCTCAAGTTCCTCAGCAGGTGGAGGAAGACCAGATTCGAGAGATATCGCAACAGGTGGAGGATGATGTGACTCCACCCACTTCAGATAGTATTGTATCCATTAAGACTCCTACAGAGATGACACTGGAAGGAGACGGAATGATGGCTGGGCATATAGAGGATATAGTGGATGGTGAGACTCAGGAGCAGAGTCATGTTCAGGAGTCTATTGTAGCAAATAGACCCAAAAAGATGATTCGTCGGCCAGCTAGATATCAAAATATCATGGTCGCATATGCATTATCAGTAGAGGTCGTTGATGATATGGTTCTGTAGGCTTTCTAAAAATCACAATAGATAGCTTATCCCCCATCAAACACCGATGATGGAAGTTACAATCTGACGACTTCCAGAAGGCTACAATTTGAAGACTTTCACGACAACCGATGAGAGCTCTAGTTCAACAGCATTCACAATCAACATCGGGAGTTACAATCTGACAACTCTCATATTCTCAAGGAGCCAAGACGAAGATTACAAGACAATGATCTTTGCAACGCTATGACAAAAGAGATTACTTGTTGATAATCTCTCCAAAGCAAGACGCGGAACTCATCACCGCGCTCTAAGACCAAAACGCGGAGGTCCTCCCCGTGTATCAACACCAAAACGCGGAGGTCCTCCCCGTGTGTCAACAGTAAAACGCAAGGGTCGAACCCACGTTACAACATCAAAACGCTGGAGTCGGACCTGCATTACAACATCAAAACGCGAGGGTCGAACCCACGTTACAACATCAAAACGCTAGAGTCGGACCCGCGTTATAACATTAAAACGCTGGGGTCGGACCCGTGTTTTTTAATGCCCAACGGATACCCAACTCCGCGTCTCCAGTCTAAAATGCGGAGTTAGGGTCCTGAACGCCAACGTGTGCGTTTGACTCATTCAAACACGAGCTGAACGGTTGTAGGAACCGTTTTCCCTCTATGATCTGAGGGATTTCTGCCCCACTTGGGAGCGGATTAAGGGGGGATACACTCCTCTCAATCCCATTATGGAGAGAATTAAGGGGGCGGTTACACCCCTTAATTCCTTATAAATATGGGTAAACTCAATGGAGTTGAGGCTGGCATTTTTCGGATCGGGGACTTGGCAGCGAAGGGTTGGAATTTCTTAGCTCGGATTGACCCTTCGGCGTGGCAGCAATAGGAGAGATCCTTGGGTGATCTTTTGAGGAGATCAGCATCATCCTCCAACGAAGATCATCTTCAACTTCGACAACAGAGAGCCTTCATCCTTGGTTTATTAAACGATTTTCGGTTCAAATCAACTCTTTACAGAGTTCTTCTAAACTCGTTCAGAGTTCTAAAACTTGCCACGCAAGTTCTCCACAACGTCAAATCGTGAGGAGAAGGCATCGTTCTAGTGAATCAAAACGTCGGATCGTCAACGGAGAGCAAACTCGACACGAGCATTCGAGGGAGGCACTCCATCGCCACTGTGAAGACGTCAACGGAGAGCAAACTCGACACGAGCATTCGAGGGAGGCACTCCATCGCCACTGTGAAGAACCCAGTTTTAAATAAAAGGGAGAATTCAAATCATTCTCCTCTCTTTTGTAATCAGGAAATCCAAATTGTAATCGATTTTGAGAGAATACAAATCAATTTTCTTTTACTGTCTTTTTACTACAAAATTTCCCACAAACAGGTTCCTTCTACATTCAGGAAGGCAAAGTCTAGCCCTAATTCGATCAGGTGGAGGGAAGCTATGAAAGAGGAGATGCGTTCTCTTCAGAAGAACGATAGTTAGGAACTTGCAAAGCTACCTAAGCATAAGAAAGCTATTGGTTGCAAGTGGGTATATGAAAAAAAGGAGGGATCTTCCATTAGGGACATTCGATTCAAAGCCAGATTGGTTACTAAGGGATATGCACAGCTTGAGGGCGTTGATTACAATAAGGTATTTTCACCCGTTGTGAAGCATTCGTCGATTCAGATTTTATTAGCATTGGTGGCGCAGCTAGATTTAGATTTGGTCCAAATGGATGTTAAGACAACCTTTCTACACGGAGATTTAGATGAGGAGATCTACATAATGCAACCCTTGAGATTTAAAACTGTAAGAAAGGAGGATTTAGTGTGCAAGCTAAAGAAGTCTCTTTATGATTTGAAGCAATCACCGAGACAATGGTACAAGAGATTCAACAGCTTTATAATTGGCCATGGGTTCATGAGGAGCCTATATGACCCATGTGTTTACATACACAAGCTACAGGATGGTGAGTACATATATTTGTTATTATATGTTGATGATATGCTTATTACTTCCAGGAATTCTTTGGCTATTCGAAAGTTAAAAAAAGGAGCTGTCATCCGAGTTTGAGATGAAGGATCTTGGAGAAGCTAAGAAAATATCAGGTATGGAGATCGAGAGAGACAGGACAAATGGGAGATTAAAGCTTACACAGAGGAGTTATCTGCAGAAGATGTTGAAGAAATTCATCTTTGACGACAATGCAAAAACAGTAAGCACTCCATTGGCTCCCCACTTTAAGCTTTCAGCTTTGATATCACCTACTTCAGTTGAGGACATAGATTACATGTTAAATGTTCCATATACTAGTACGGTGGGTAGCTTGATGTATGCTATGGTATGTACAAGGTCAGATTTGTCACAAACTATGAGCATGGTATCCAGGTACATGCACAATCTCGGGAAGGGTTATAGCGAGGCCGTGAAGTGGATTCTACGGTATGTTAAAGGCACCATGGATGTTGGTTTGATTTTTCAGAAGGATGAGAAGAATGAGCAGGATTGTATTGGTTACATGGATTCAGATTATGCAGGGGATCTTGACAAGCGCTGGTCTACTTTAGGATATGTATTTACATTGGCAGGAGCATCAGTATGTTGGAGATATACACTTCAGTCTACAGTAGCTCTCTCTACTATAGAGACGGAGTATATAGTGGCGACTGAAGTTGTGAAGGCGGTTTTGTGGTTGCATGGTTTGTTGGAGGACTTGGGGATTACACAGGAGACCCTTCGGGTATATTATGATAGCATGTCGCCTATCTATTTGGCGAAGAACCAGGTTTATCATGCACGTACGAAGCATATTAATGTCAGATTCTACTTTGTTCGTGATGTTTTGGATGATGGAGACGTCATATTAGAGAAGATCCATATGAAGGACAATCCTGCGGATATGTTGACCAAAGTTGTTTCAGGTGTGAAATTTGGTCATTGTTTGCAGCTATTAAACATTCTTCAATGTTGAGGGCCTTTGGAGCCATTTGGGTGAACTACGTTCGGCTTGATTCTTTGGGTAAGAGGATACATAGGCAGTCTTTTCTATGCAGCCGGTTGGATTTGTTGATTTCGAGGGGGGAGATTGTTTGAGCTCTCATTTGGGATCCCGACTTGTTGTGAATTGATTCCGTTATCGTGGATTTATTCTACTTTATATTGGACACAACAAGTAGGACATTTGGATATTTTGGTGTCGGTTCAGTTTTGAGAGAAACTTCTCCGAGGTGGAGATTTATGGGAAACTAGATTTTCTGTCATAAGTCGACTCATGAACAGGCATAAGTCGACTTATGGCAAGTCGACTAATGCCCATGAATGAGTCAACTTTCGTTCTGCCCTCCAGTTGTCAGTTTCGTCTCGGTCAAGTCGACTTATCAGGACTGATAAGTCGACTTACGATCTGTTCAGCAGTTATCGTTTTTGGCTCTGTCAAGTCAACTTATCAGAGTGCATAAGTCGACTTATGGGTGTTTTTAGGCTGAGTTAAGATTCCTGTTTGCATTCTATTTGGGTTTGATATACATAGGAATATGTTGATTATTAGGGTTAAGCAAGGACGTTTTTGAGCAGCTTTTGAGAGAGGATTGTGCATCAATTGTGGGAGGATTTGTGAGAGATCTAGAGAGCTTTGTTCTAGGATTTATTGGTGAGTTTTGCAACCCTATTTGTATTCTATTGATTTCTAATAGTAAGAACTTCCCCCTCCTTTCCCCGTTGACGTAGGCAACTTGCCGAACCACGTAAAAATTATTGTCTTGTTGTGATTGTGATTTATGTTTGTATTTGGTTGTGATCTTCTTCGTTCTTGTTCATGCACTATTTGGCTTTCGAGCACCCCTGCGCACAACAATCAACATATAAAAGAAGAAGAAGAATATCAGAACCTTGACGATGAACAAACATGGAAGAATCAGTGTTGTTGCAGTGAAAACTAAAGGGAGAGAAGAAAACTGCTAAATCGATAAAACCAAGCACGAGGAGCCTGTTTGAGGCCATAAATAGCCTTATTAAATTTGCAAACATGATGTGGAAAATGTGGATGAGCAAAGCCAGGAGGTTATTTCATGTACACCTCCTCAATAAGAAGGCCATGCAGAAAACCATTCTTAACATCGAGTTTATGGATAACCGAACCAAATGAAATAGCCAAAGAGAACACAAGACAAATAGTGATGGATTTGACAACAGGCCTATTTGTTGTCGAATTCGAAGAGAACAAAAGAAGTGGCATGGTGGAGATGGTTGAACTCGAATTCATGGGAATTATCGAGGTGGGTATTGCCAAACTCGAAGAGAAACTTGAAGCCATGATTCATCCGAAAGAAGGAGAAAGATTGCTAAGGTTTCACGGAGGCTCTGATACCATGAGAAAGTATTAGAGAGAGAGAGAGAGACAGCCGAATAGGTGGGTCGGCTTACCCTAACACCCAAATCGATATATGTATATATGAGAAGATATGATACATGTTTATATATATAGACCCTCTATGACGATTACATATTATAGTTGCACTATTAGAAGACTTGGAAATTTCAACATATGCCTTGGAAAGAGGTATAAATTAAGAAAAATGATCCTTGAGATTCTGCAAGGAGAATTTGTTCCAAAGAAGTAAGAACATGTTTGACAACATACTTAATTTTGACAACATACTTAATTTAACTTAAAGTGAGTTTTTACATATATGTACCCAAAATCATGTTTGGCAAAGTTTACTTATTTTTAACTTAAAAGTAAGAAAAAAATAAGTTGGGATTTCCCAACTTATTTTTATGGCACTTATAAATAGATTTACTTATTGATGATAAAAGACTATTTTGCCCTCTAATAAAAATAAAAATAAGTAAGAATAAATCATAAGCAACTTACAATATTTGAAAAAATAAGAGTGTGTTTAGCAAACTACACAAAACGGGGTCAAGACTAGTTCTGGTCCACTTTTGTGCTAAACCAGTTTTCTTTTGAACCAGCTCCCCCTCGGTCCAAAAGAAAATTGGTTTAGTGCCAATATTTGGGCTAAAAAAATTGGGGCAGCTCTAGTCTGAGAATTTGCCAAACAAATAACAATTTAAATTTGGGTCAGGTTCAGTCGTGACCCAATTTTACAAGTTTGCGAAACACACCCTAAGTATTAGCCAAACATTTTTTAAGTCAAAAAGTTTTGGAATAACAAGGCAATTGAATGGTCTAATCGTTCGAATCAATTAATTAGATCAATAAATTTGAAAACAGTACGTAAATAGATGAATCAAAGAATTTATAACAAATTACCACACAAAAAAAGGTCTTCCTGGAGTCCATTACGCTGGAAATTTCAATGGAGCCCATTTTATAAAACCAAGCCTAAACTGTTATTCTATGGCCTCAACAGCATAACATCGGTGGTTTTGGTTGGCTTACTTGGCACGGGCCTGGATACTAGCTTATGTTTATGGCACGGGCCCGGATACTAGTTTGTGTTTATGTATGATATTAGTATGCTTAAAAAAATGTATAACATAATAAGATATGTAAGCGTAAATAGAAAGAGGACTTTTTAGATATTAGCCGCTTAACTCATTAGTATTTTGATATTAGTCCCTCAAATTACCGTAATATGTTCATATTAGACACTCTAGTAAGTTGGTGTTAAAATGAAGAGATAATATTCCGTTTTCTTTAATTCTTTTGCGCGCGTGAAAACTTCACAAACTAAGAGGGGAAAACTCATCATTCATCTCCAAGACTAAATCGATATTCAAAAGGCTAAACGATCTCTTTGTGATGCACCATCCATTATAAGAAGAATGACTTTTCAATCGACCCCGTTAAAAACTTAGCCTCATCATCATCAACCTCCACAATAAACAACAAGCTCATCATATTGTTATGAAAAATTTCCACATTTAATAATTAATAATTAATTAATCAGT